AGCTTCTTGCTTACTATGCACAATCACTTGTTCTCCTCACATAAGCATCTCCTCCGCTGTAGCAGTTGTGGTGGAAGTAAAAAAAAAAAGGCTGTCCAATGTCTGCCTGCTGTTTAATCACTCTGTCCTGCATGCGAACTCTCTCTCTCAGATGCTCTCTATCTTCTCAGTCACTCTCCCTATCCTCGTCTGCTGTTTCTCCTCCCTGCTCCCTCTTTGTAGGGACGCCCCCCCTCGTCTGCTGTTTTATAAACCCACACTGTAAACAGCTCAACCTTACCAGACACAGTCTCCTCCCCTTCCACCCACCGCTCTCAGTCGTGGTGTGTGTGTGTTTGTGTGCGTGTGGGTGTGTTAGTGCCAAGGATGGGGGGGGGTGAAAGTTTCCATGCAGTGAGGCACAGCTACAGTGCAGCGGATGGAAAGAGAAAGAGAGATGCTAACTGAGGAGGTGTTAAATGCTACAAGCAAAAACTTAAATTGGGACAAGACCTTCAAGGCAGTCTGGCACATGTTGAAACATGTATTCATGAGTTTGTGTGATGTAATTCTCCATTTCCAAAACTGAAACTAGCACACTTGCAAGCATGTATTCAATGTATATTTTTAGGTATTTGACGTAGTGTTTTTTTTAATCAGTATGAAGATTTTTTGTTAAATGTTTATGAATGTGTGTAAGTAAAAGTGTGTATTTTAAATTCTTTTTCACCTCTTTTTTCCATTTTATTTTGGGCTATTTTTATATAATAATAATAATTTGCCAAAAAATAAGAAAGAAAAAGAAAAGTAACTTTTTTGTGATTTAAATATGCTGTGTAGCAGCCAATCTTGTATTTTTAATTTATGCGTGCTTATTTCCCTAATTTATATGGAGATTTTTTTTACACTGTTAAATAGCAAATCACAAAATAAATATCCAATTTTATACTCTTCATTATACTCTTTGAAAACCATTGACTTTAGTTTTTTTTGTGTTTATTTTCATTTATTTAGACATTATCGTAGATAATTTTAATACTGGCCATTTATTGGTTATTACCTATAATATACAAATTATTATTTGCTTAAGAATTGTAATATCATTGCATGTCTAGTTGTAACAATCTTGTTTCTCAAGAAACAACTGAAAACTAATTTCTTCCGTGAGCATCTAAATGCATCCTAAAAAAAAAAAAAAATCTATGCTCTTATTTTCCCTTAATATCTTTCTGTCCTAGCTTTTATTGTTTTGAACGTTGACTGAAAACTTGTATAATGGGACACTTCTCATGTTTATTGCCGTCTTGTGAAGAATCGCTTGTTGTTTTCCTCAACTGTAAGTCGCTTTGGATAAAAGCGTCTGCCAAATGAATAAATGTAAATATAAATGTTACAATAGAATATAGAATGTTTCACTGCAGGACATGCAACTCAAATATTTTACGAAGCTGCCCTTTTATATTACATGAAAATAAACATGTACAGTATCATCACTAAAACATCATGGATTAGATGCTTGTGGTGGATTGGTGGCTGAACGGATATGGACAAAGAGATAAATTAGCTGCAATCTATATTTTTCTTAATCTTGGACATTGACGCAGTGGGCACTATCTTTTTCTAGTGCCTTCACATATCAATTTCTTCTGTAATGTAAATTTTAATGAAGGAGCATGGGGAATACAGAACATCTAATAAGCGTGCCTTCACACTTTAAACATTAAACGAGAAGATCTGATAGCATCTGCAACGACATCATTACATCTTGACGAAACTGGCGATTAGAATGAGCTATCATCATCTGAATAGATACAGCCACTAATGCTTCAGTGAAATATGTCAGCTGATCCATATGGTCAGTGTCACTGCATCAATACGCCATTGCATCGATACACGCTGAAATGCCCCAAAACAGTTAATTAAAGCAGACTGTCACTAAAGTGCCAATAATGGTAATACACATTTAGTAATCAATGAAGGGTGGTTGCAGAACCCGAGGGCTGAAGTGCAAGCTTGCATTTCTCCGGGTATTTCCATATAATGGGCAACTGTCCAAAATCTTGTCTGCCAAATTATATATTCCCTTATAGTCATGCATCAGTCCACTCATGTAATTCTACTGTAGTATAGGTGTGCGGGCCAGGTTTTCTCGTTCTCTGAATCAGCAAAAAAATCTAATCCAATTACAGATATTTTTGCACGGCCTATTGTGTCAAGTTCATAGTGAACATCAGTCTATTGAAGCCTCTTAACAGTGTCAATATGTCCTCCAGCACTTAATGTAATGATCTGGGCCACGTCATGGTGTGTCAGACATATTCGTTTGACAAATAAAACTGGCATTAGCCTGACACTATAGAGCAGGGGCGGGGGTGTTAAACAAAAAAAAAGACAACAACACTATCACCCACCGACCTAGTTCAGGCCCTGGCCAAATCCCTGGCCAGACCTAGACACATCATCTAATTACAGAACAGGCAGAAAAGGGAGGATTGGGCCCCCTGAGCGGGATGGGTGTCTGTCTGGCTGATAAGGACAGGGCCTCCTCCTCTTCTGCACCCATCCCGAGCAAGCGAGTGTTAGAGCGGGACACAGATAGATCATCTTTCAGGGATTAGTGGGCAGAGGGAGGAGCCTGATCTCAGTGCTGCTCCAGTTTCGGAGTAAGAGGGAGCAGTGATGCCAACGCAGTGCTGAATGAACATGGACGACATATGCTGGACCACCTTATAACACTCTTTTACATTCTTTGTTTTCGGGCAGGTAATTTTGCCCAATCTATCAGCCGCTGTGACAGGTGACATGTAAAATGGTAACGCGGAAATAAAATGCTTTTCTCTCGTATGTGTATTTCTTAAAGAACTTTGCAGTTTTGTACTAAACTACACTAATGATATCATTAGTTTATTGTTGTCATTGTTTTCAAATGATATTTAATGTAAAAAGTAATGGTCAAACTTAATTCCACACAAATATATACTACAGTTTAGAAGTTTGGGGTCAGTAAGATCTTTCAGTATTTTTGAAAGAAGGTTCACCATTAATTGAAAATATGGTTAAAAAAAACTGTGATATTGTGAAATATTGTTACAGTTTCTATTAAAATATATTTAAAAATATGATTTATTCCTGTGGTGACAGGTTTTTTAAATAAAGAGTAAGTTTAAATAGATTTGCATAAATTGTTTCTTGAGTTATTTATGGTCATTGTGGTGATTTTGTTTTTATAGTTATGGCAGGTTAGAGTTAAGACTTTAATTATACACATCTTGCCTGGTTTAAATATGCCTCCCAGTTGCTCTTGTTCTTTGTGGTGGAAGTCTGCAGTGGATTTGCAGGTTTTTTATTTAATTTTTTGTTTTGTTTTGTTTATTTATTTTATTATTTATTTATTCATTCAGTTATTTTTGGTTTGATGGAAATTACATATTTTTATTTTTTGTTTATTATTTGTTTATTTACTATTTATTTATTTTTATGTGCCATTGAATGTTTCTGCTTTCACTCAGGCTGTGATCTGGCCTCTTTTTAGAGTATTTTGTGTCTGTAATGTCCAACTCTATTTGAACTCTAGTTGAACGCTGTTGACACATAAGCA